TGACTCGGTAGGGGTTCGAACTAACGACCTTCCGCATACAAGGCGGACGCATTAACCACTAGGCCACCGGAGCGGTCTTGTAAATTTCGTAGCAACCGCATACGTACAATAAGAATAAAATTGGCGAAATTTATTACGAAGGAATATATTACGGTGAATTCGAAATGAAGTCAGAAATACAATAACCTTTATTGGCACGCGTTCAACGGCACCTTAAACCATTAATGGCCATACGGTGGCAACATCATCGACGTATCGTCCTCTTGTGTGTGTGTGTGTATGCATATATATATATATATATATATATATATATATATATATATATATATATATATATATATATATATATATATATGGGTTACAAATCACACGGCAAATAAGAATCTTCCAAATACACTGAATGTAAATGATGGAGTTATTGTTCAGGGAAATAATAGACAGAAAATCTGACAAATAACAACACAAAACTAGAGCGGAACCAGCCCAAGCGCTTTCGAAATCTATCGATTCCTTTTTCAAGGGCATGGAGCCAGAAAAGATAATTAAACAAAGGCAACATAGCAAAACACAGAACTGTGAATACTGTACAAAAATCTGTAGTGTGCGTGCTATAGATAGGAAGAATTCTATACAGAATAAAGGTTAAACGATGTGAGTGTCGTTACATTTTAGTGCTAGCAAAGCTTGAACAAATGACCACATTAATCTGTTTTAATAGATCAGCAATGAAATGTTTGCGCCGTCTACAAAATTTCCCATCCCGGATATAAATTTTCCAACCCGGATATAAATTTTCCATCCAGGATGTAATATTTCCATCCCGGAAATAATATTTTGATGAGCAGGCTGTTTGTTAAAACTTGCTTAAGTTACGCTCTAAATAATATTGCATCACCGAGTTGATAATGTATAAATGCTTTATTAACGCTTTTTAAAATACATTTTGAATGCTTTTTTAAAAACAGTTTTACATTTAATGGTAGTTATGACCATGTCTTTGTAAATGCAAATAAATGGTAGGAAAATGTGATCTTGATAACAGTGCAAGTTCCTTGTTACCTATGCATTAGCAAATGCCTATTTGGATATTACTGATTTAAGCACTTGGTTTCAATGTACGCAACCGGCTTCTTTGCGTTTCCTATTCTGTGTGATCCATTTCGAGTTATGAGTGTTCCCAGTCAGGATTACATTATTGAATGTATAGCATGGAGAAGAGAAATGTTCCGCCACTTGGCTCCTTTCCGTTTTATCGGTTTGCTAGCCTGTTCTGTGGAAATTCATTTTAATGTTTAATTTCTGCATTCCTCCAGCATATTGGGAGCCTCAAACATTACATGTGATGAGGCAGATTACATTTTCAGTGTTACACGTTGTAGTGTGGCAGTGAATCTGAAAACCTTTCATTTGTTACTGTGCTGGATTGTTTTCTTCACGCCTTGCATAATTTGTTTCCACAACGCTTTTAATTCCCACTTATTATCTGATTTTCGAGACATGCTTGTGAGAGCAAATTTAAAGCCATCGAAAATGGAGTTAAAACTGTGTATTCGATCTAACGTTTTCACAAATTTCTATACGTTTACCTTCCTTGATCTGCACACATTTGCAAAGTTGTTCTTTTTCATACATATGTTGCAGGTTTCGTTCCTGCAGGCATGTAGTCGAGTGCGGGTATGTTGTAGTTGTGGGATTAACACTATTTTTCAGCACAGGGTACATGACAGCCAGTATCGGGTTGAGGAAGAACTCAACAAAAACTCGTGAAAAACCACCGACCCACGGAAAGCTAATGGCAAGCTTTTTCACATATCCACGTTTGACGAACTCGAGATTCGAATCCACGCGGACAGACGCGAAATCCTAGTGATCTCCAACGGCGAGTGTGTTAGACCACTCAGACACTGTGCGGATATATATCTCTGGAACATTATCCATGTTGTTGGCTTGTCTCCTCCTTGTCGTCTGCGCTGTATGCATTCTGTGTGTGTGTGTGTGTGTGTGTGTGTGTGTGTGTGTGTGTGTGTGTGTTGATATTTCGATGTCACTGACGTGCTTTCAAGGAGTATCGATACTTTTAATAGTTCTATAACGTGATGTTTTCTTTTTCTTACAATTAATTTTCTTTGGCACAAAAATTAACGGCTTTGAATAATCCGGGCTTAATTTCATAGTCATTTGAAGCCAATTGCTTCAGGCTTGTGTCAGTTTTTTTTTTCTCTGTGCTCATGTCTCTCTAGCTGTAACGTATGTTTATCATAGTTTTAGTTCTTCTCTGACGCAAAGGATTCGTAAAGTGACTCCTTCGCTTTTTCGTAATTTTCTTTGTTCCGCGAGTCAAATGGCATTTTAATAGTTCATGATCATCCTCTCCAGCATAACTGAGTAAAAGTGCCCTTTTTATCCCTTGTGTCAGGTATGTTCATTGACATAAACAAATTGTCAAATCTGTTTACCCGCTTTTTCTAACTTGTTTCGACAGCACCATCTTCATGCACTTTAAAAGATGGAAAGGCGATAGAACTGGTCATGAAAAGAATTTGTTTGGTACTACGAATGGCTTAATTGGAGACAATTTGGTTTTGTACCACAAAGGCTATTGTTATTCTTCTAATAATTATTAATGTTGTTGTTGTTGTTGTTGACAAGAGTCCAAGACGGTGGCTTTCTCTGTATGTTCCTTGGTGGGTCCATTTCCACCGAACCAATCGCATATACTTATTCCTCTCTTTGTCAGGCATTGGAAAACCGTTTCCAAATCCAATGAACCAAACACCGTCTTTCTGGTATCACGAATTACTTGTACATGAACCATAGCAACAAAGCTTTGTGGTCACCATATTAAATAACTAGTATTCCAGAAGAATATATTACTTTTTTATATATAAACTTCAGAATGCTGCCAGCATCCGTGTTACTAGGCGTCGCTAGCGGCTTTGTCCGAAAATACGATGGCCTCGGCCTGGGCAGTGACATCATGGTTTATTTTTAGCACAAGTCTGAATTAAGTACAAACGCCATTGAAGATGAATCCGATTGGTGCTACGAAATGCTGTACTTAGAATACTCGCTATTCGATTTTGAGTTAATTTGCTTTCATCATTGTCGCCAATTATTGTATATTGTGTGTGTGTTTGTATATATATATATATATATATATATATATATATATATATATATATATATATATATATATATATATATATATATAGACTGGCATGTGTAGAACTTTTACTTTTCCCACGATTCCAGCCAGGATTGGCATCTAGCTGACAGACATCAACGCCTATACTACATATGGCCAGCTTGGAACTCGTTGCTGCTGTAATTAATTGCTTGTCAAAGGTTAGGTTCATATAAAGGATTCCGCGCGCGAAAGTTTTATGATAAATAGAAGTTCAATTAAGGACGCCAACCTAAGAATATGCAAACATGGACGTTGTTGAAAACATAGAATTAGATACTTACTGAGCGATAAGGAAATATGTATTGAATATCCACATTGAATTCTGCATTGAATATCCACATTGAATATCCACATTGAATATCCACATTCAATACCACATTGAATATCCACATTGAATATCCACATTCAATACCACATTGAATATCCTCACTGCTCAAAATCAAAGATGCAAGAGTAGATAGGCCGATACTAGATGTATATATGATGCATGTTCATTCCGAACTAAATTTGCACATCGGATGCTTCAGTAGCGAAAGTAAATAATGTCTTGCATGAACGTGTTTCCCATTTCAGATATTCTTTTTATTGCCACGATTAAAATGCAAGTGTTTATCCATTTGAAATAGCTAGCATGTAACTGCAAATGTTTGCCAGTTTTAGATGTTCTTTTTATTGCCAACATGAAAATATAAACGTTTATGAATTTCAAATGGTTTTATAGCTAGCACGCAAATTCACGTGTTTGTCCATTTCAAATGCTCCTTTTATTGCAAGTATGAAAATGCAAATTTACCCATTTCAAATTGCTTTTGCCAGTATGAAAATGCCAAGTTTGTATCCATTTCACATGGTTTTATAGCCAGCATAAAAAGCCGTTTACCCATTTTAAATGTTATTTTTATTGCCAGCATAAAAATGCAAGGTTTTTACGATTTCAAATGGTTTTATTGCCAGCGTAACAAGGCAAGTAGTTATCATTTCAAATGTTGTCAGTGCCCCTAATAAGAAATGAGGATTTGATTCTATGAGATAAAGTTAGAAATAAACATCCCCATTAGCAGAAATAGAAATTTTGTCTATTTCAGATGGTTTTATTTTCAGTATGAAAGTACAAGTTCTTACCTGTTTCATTTGCTCTTTTGTTGCCATTATGCATAAGTACTTACTCATTTCTAATGGTTTTAGTGCCAGCAGGAAGAAATGGTAATTCATTAGAATGACATAAGGTTTTAAATAAATATCGCCATTAGCAAAAAAAAAAGTTATTCTTGTATGGATAGTGTCAGAGAACAGTTTTATTTTTATAAAGTCACAAGGGAAAATTTTAAGTTCATCTGTCGAATTTCTGTTAGCATATAATGTACTAAAGTTCGTCTAAAATCCACTTGGTCAGTTTCAACCGAACTTGGCAAATATTATTCCGGCATTTCATGTTTATACAAAATAAGGTCATTATTGAAAAACATTTTTTTAGTTATTTCAAATAATTCTTTTGACAGAATTTGATTTAATTTTATCGGAAGCATTCGGGCCTGACGGCTATACAGATTTCTATAAATAATGCTAATTTGCTATCAAATATGGTCGACAAGATTCAAAAGCCATTAAACAACTTTTCCACAAAACTTTTCAACAGAATTTAATAAAATTTTATTGAAACATCTTTGAATAAAGGCATTTAAGTTTATAAAAGTATGCCAGACTGGAGTCCCACACCGACGGGTACTAAAATAGAACCACCTTTATAATATACCTTACTCAATAGTATAATACAGAATAGTATAATCAAATTAGACAAACAACATAATTGTGTTAAGGCCTTTGAAAATGTATAACAATAATGCTGACTTGTTCTCCAATGTGACTGTTATTGATAAAAAATAGATACAT